CACACACACACACACACACACACACACACACACACACACACACACACGTTTCTGACCTAGACAAGACTTGTAAGCTGTCTGTGTGAAGCTCTGGGTCAGCCCAGGGCCTAACACATGGGAGGCATCTGTTTACCATGGTCCTACATCTCCAGCAAAGCTGCCATTTATTTATTTGTTTCTTTGTTTATTTTCCAGGATAGGGTTTCTCGATATAGCCCTGACTGTCCTGGAGCTCACTCTGGAAACCAGGCTGGCCCTGAACTCATAGAGATCTGCCTGTCTCTACGTCCCAAGTGCTAGGATCAAAGGCATGCGCCAATACTGCCCAGCAAAACTTCCATTTTTTAAGACCTTATTTTTCACTGTAATTTTTCCCATTTTCTCTGTTTGTATATAGAAAAGCCTACTAAAGGTTCTTGGGCTTGGCCTCATCCCTAGATAAATAAGATCTACTGAAGTATTTAGTTTTAAATGTGAAGGTATATGTTATAGATATACAGATGGATGATTTAAAATCACCCAGTTTACAAGTCATTTTCATCACTAGTGACATATGAAGGTTAAAATAGTTCTTGGGCTATCTGAAAACAGTACACTAGGCTGCTAGGCGGTTTTCACACTTCTAACATCAGTAGAAGGGAAAAAAAGCAAGAAAGCTTTATGATTGTTTAGTACTTTCAATAAGTAAAAAATGTACAATGATTCAAAATTTAAACTGAATAAGAGAAATGCACAACCAGTGTAACTATTGATTTTTAAAACAAATTAGATATATTTGGTACTATTTTTATATAACGTGTTAGAAATAGCTCATCACTCATCACAGAAAACAAAAGCAAGGGAAAGCTTGACACTCTGGGCTACTTTTCTGTGCACTGTGTGGGTCAATACCAATTCTTTCAGTTTTGCTGAGTTGCTCTTACTCGTTGTCTCTCCAGGGTCCAAGCCCTGCTGAGGGCCCTGCTGAGGGTCAGTCTCACTAAGGCCCACTGTGGGGACAGAAAGTCAACTCTGTCACAGATTCAAAGGCTTCAGTGTTCTTCAAAAATATCAACTCATCCTCAAATGATGGGGTCAGTCACTTGTGTACATGCATAAACCGTCACAGGATCATAGACAAGGAAGCGTAAGTCAGAGTAGGTAAGTCAAGGGTAAGCTTTCCATGTCTTTTCAAGTCATTTTATTCCTTATCCCAAATATGAACAGCAATTACAGAAAGGTTTGATACAACTGTTCTTAAGTAGGCCAGTGTCTCTGGTGCAAAAAGGGACAAAGGCCTTTCTTCCTTCCCTATGCCCAAGTTAAAACCATTTGAACAGAGGACTGGAGGGGGACTGGGTTGCCTGTATACTGACTAGGGAGAAAATTGGTTAGTGACTGCTGGAGAGAGACCACACATGCAAGATGCATCAGTGACAGACCTGTGAGAGTTAGAGCAGGGAGCAGGAAGTCTACTCTGAGAAGATGGTGTTGAGGCACAGCCACTGCTCGCTCAGCTGAAGACAGTCCCCCGCAGGTTCCCCATGAGCTTCAAGCCCACCGCAAGAAACACGAGCCCCTTTGTGACTCAATGCCGCCTGTTTGACCCACCTGCTGGCATAATACAGTGGCCCATAAGAGCAAAGATGCCACAGAAATACTTACTTCGGACTTCATACTGACTGTGCTCCGCTGTCTTCAGCAGAGGACGGGAGAAGCAGTGCCAGGGTAGCTGTTTCCTTACTTGAGGCAACACGTAATGGGTTACAAGCCCCACAAAGCCAACCAGTGCATACAGCACGTACTTGAGAGCAGGCTGAAAGAAAAGCAGAGTTCAGGGTATTAGGAGCCCCAGCGGGTTCACTGCAGAGCTCCCAGCTCTTTGGTTCCGCTGTTCATCTTGTAATGGGGAACAGCAAAGTCAACCTCAGAATCTAAAAAACACAGTTTACTATTTCTGTATCTGTAGCTTTTTTTTTTTTTTCTGCCTAAATAAGTCACTGTATGCTAGCTGGCTGTCCTCATACATATCTGAAATATGGCAACTACCTTGGTGTCCAAAACTATATTTAATGAAAGTAGTGGAGTTTTTGTTTCCTGTTTCAAGAATGTTCTATGAGTATCCAGGCAACTGTTTGAACTAGTGGAGATAAAGGACATAGCTCAGTCAGTTTAAGAGAAGAACAGAATGGAACAGAACAAAAGGACTCATCTTTTGTCTTCATATGCTGCGCTGTCGGAGGTAGGTGCTTTGCACAGTTTGATTCACAGAAGGAGAATTCGACACCATTTTTTCCAATATCAAAACCAAATGTCATATATATTTAGAAACTCTGAACCCCTTAGATATGAAGGAGTGTCCAGTTGTACCCTGAGGAACACTGGCCCTTCATTTCTCAGTGTTCAGGAATTCATAGTTCAAACTGTAGAGAAGAAAAACAAGCTAACATGCTTAGCAAAACTAAATAATTGAGCGAGCCTTTGCCTCTGGCCAAATGGAGTAACAGTGGCTTACCCTCCCATACGAAAAAGCCAAAACTGAATGAAGCACATGACCCAGTGGTTTGTATTAGGCAAGATTTACAGAAATAAGCCCATGCCCAGAGGAAAGGGAAATGAGGGCGGGGGTGAGGTGGGGAGGGGGGCTGTGCCTGTCCAGCTCATACTCGCTGCTCCAAGAGAAGGCCTTTTGAAAGTGGAGGATGACTAGACGTCCCTGGAAGGGACTGTAGTGAACCTAAGGGTGGAGTGACAGTTCTGGAATTCTGGTTTCTCTAGAAGCACAGAAATATAATGTGTTTTTGTTTTAATCCCAGGTGTGGGGATATGGGGCTGCTTCCGACTGTCTGTAGCAGCTGACTATAATTTGCCTTGTGCTCTGGCAGGGCATGATTTTGCCAGCTGCAAGTAGTTTCTGTGATTGTGTGATGTTTAGAATTCTGGGAACTTTTTAGAGGGTAGTTGGTGGTTGCTGGTCGTTCAGGGGGTTGGCTGTGGTTTGTTAGTAGTCATGCTCAAGGAGAAACAAAGAAGAAGAAAATTAGATTCAGGGATCTCTCTTCCCACCCCCCCATCCTTTTCCCTCTATCCTATCTAGCAATAGGGGTGAAACGGGGTACAGGCAGGGGATAAAGAAGAACCCACAAAGCAGCAAAGACAAGCTACATAAGGGAAAGTACAGAGGAGGCCCTTGAGATCTGCAGACTGTCCTTCAAGTATTCATGGGAATGGGAACCACACACATGCGGAAACTATGAAGACTCACAGGAGGGAATCAGACAAGAAAGCATACAGTTATTGGTAGCTCTTGCTGTGCAGCATGGAGAAGGCACAATACTCTCCAGCTCCACCATTACCACTAATACATGTAATGTTTGTAAAATTCATACCCAGTAAACAATTTAGGTCAAAAAAAAAAAAAAAAAAGAAAAGAAAGCATACAGCTTTCTCACAGGACTGGGAGAGCGCCACCTCACAAGCTAGACTGAGAAAGCTCAAGGTTCACACACACCAAGCAGAGGCCCAAAGTGCCTACCTTAGTGGTGGGAGACACAGGTGTGGTCTAGCCAAACTTGGCCCCTGTCCTACCTCAGAAACTGCTTTAACAGAAAGCAAGACCTGAGGGGATCAGACTGTTAAAAAGTGCTTAACATTGTCTAGAAACACTGTTCAAGTACTTCTGGAAATATAAAATTTAACACCTAAGAGGTAAAATTTACACTGCTGGCATCCACTCAAAAATTTCCATATGCCTCTCTGAATGCACTCAAGACCCGCTCCACAAAGGGTGTGCTGGGACCAACGTCTGGTACTGTAAGCCTGGCTAACAACCCAAGTCTGGAAGTAGTAGGCCCACGGAGGGAATGTATTTTTATGGTTAATTACACTGACACAGCAGCAAACTGCCTTCTAACTAACTCGGCTTACACCTTAGACAAAAGCAGCCCCCAGCCTTAATTAGGGAACCTTCACCTTATGATGATCAGTGCAAAACAGAGAGACTGCCCAGAATGCAGAAAACAAGCCATAGATGTGGCCCCAACTCTAAACAAGAAACTTTATGCCACCCATCTAATGCTCAGGAAGCACTGCAGAAGGAGAAAGGAAAACGGGTTGAAAAAATCAGAACCACCCTGAGTGACACAGATGCTAGGATCAGAAGATAAGGGTGCTCTAAGAGTAACAGCCAGATCTGTGCATCCAGAACACTATAGCATAAAAAAGGCCTCCAGACTTCTAAAGACAAAAACTATAAATTACAAAACGAGAAAGACTCTAAATGTGACTGATGAGAGATTATGTTGCAGAAGAAAAGATTACTGAATTTAAAGACAATAGCTTCCACACAGGAAAAGGAATTAAAATAAATATCATCAGATAATCACAAACAACTTCAAAGGCCAAACTTGGAGTCACCAAGGTGATGTGGGATGGAATTCAAAGGGTTGTGGAAAGCAGTAAGAACAGTATAAAACAAAACCCTGAAATGCCAAAAGTTTCCAGATTTAATGAAATGTATGAATCAGAGAGTAATGAAACTCAACTACAAAAACAAAAGAAAACCACATGAATACATTTTAATCATATTGTCCTCTACTAGTGACAAAACAAACCAAATAAGCAGCAGAGAAAGAGCACTAGCCACATGGGTAGACGGAGAATCACAAGGCTTCTCATCAGAAGACAGGAGCGGGAAGACTATGGTGTGGCCTTTCAGCCATGGGAAGAATGAAGGTGTCATCATGAGTGTTATACCCCAGGCAATACCTTCCCAAACCAGGAGTGAAACAGGGACCTCGTCAGTGACAGAGTGAAGAATAAAACATCTGCAGACATCCTAGAGGGCAAAGGGAGTGACGCTATAGGGAAACACTGGGATACAGTCCTGAGAGTGCGAAGCAAGGGAATGGAGAAGGTGGCATTTAGATGAAAGAAACTGCCTGTATAGAACTGCACATGAGGAGCAGAGGTGCTCACCCATCCCTAAAAGACTCAACCCCTCCAGTGGTACTCAAGTGAGGCTCTGGGGGATTTTAGGGGAAAAAAAAAGCACATCTTGCATTCAGGAGGGACATGAAGCACGAGGGCCAGAGGACAGATTGGTAGCCAGCGTCCGACATAGTCCCCATGGTCCTGGCTTCTTAGTGTCTACACCTCTGAGTATTTGCTTCCCTTGCTGTACCAGATAGTCTCCGTGACCAAAAGAATAAAGAAGGGTGGTGTGCCATTTGCAGAAGAGATTCTAAAAGAGTGCACTTTGGCTGGGGCTTTCTCTAGGATCACCTGTTCTGTTGAAAACCAGATGTCATTTAGAGGACACTTAGGGAGCCTCTGGAAGAACTCATGGACAGGAACTGAAGTCAGCAGCCAGCACTAAGTGAGCAAATGAGGACTCCATACAATTCACCTCAGACTACTGCAATAGCAGGAAAAGCTCCTATGTCACTCAGAGATTTGCAGCCCAGAGAAAACTCTGAAATACATCAGTGCAGGTGGATCTCTGTGAGTTGGATTCCAGCCTCATCTCAGAGTGAGTTCCAGGACAGCCAGGGATACACAGAGAAACTCCACCTCAGGAGGAAAAAAGTGTAGGAGAAGGATGGGGAGAAGGGCAGTGGGAAGCATATTCTAAGCACAGCATAGCCAACCTGAGGGACTCACAGTGGCTGTGTATACTGACTAGCACTGGGTCCACGGAAGCCAGGCCCTCCAAACAGTAGCCATGGATGGGGAGAAGACTCACAGGTCCCAACTGCTACTCAACGGTGGCCAAAGAGAATTGTATTCCATTGTGTACCCATGATAAGCCCACCAAGCTTAGGTCCAAACTCAGACTTTGGTTCAATATATAGGACACAAAGCAAAATCAAAAGTGAGTAGGAAGAAGAGATTTGGGGGAGGGCAGGTAAGGGCTGGAGAGAAGTCAGGAAGGGATGATGAGAATACACAGTACACATGTATGAAACTGTGAAGGAACAAAATTTACTAGTAAAAACAAATACCCAAAACAAGACAAACAACTCCAGTATTCCAGTGCCACCAGTCACACATCAGCAATGTTACTTTCTATCAACCCCACTAGAGGATTCCTTACCTGCAATGCTGTGAATACTGTGCTTACATGGATGGCAAAATACAGCACACCAATAATGATACACGCCACCAGGTCGGACTGTAAACGCTCACTCTGTGGGACAAAGGGCAATCGTTAAACAACTACACACTTGTTTGTTTTTGAAATAGGGTCTCATGCAATCCAGGCTGGCTCCAACTTGTTATATAGCTGAGAATGACCCTGAATGTCCAATCCTCCTATCTCCACTCCCAAGTGTCATCACACTTCTCTTTTCCATACAACTCAAAGAACATAAAGCCCCCTTTTCCCAATTGGTAAAGCTTAAGAGATAGTATGTAAAGCGTATTAGTATTTCTAGATATTTTTATATAAAATAATTATGTAAAATAAGTCTATTTTCTTAAACAGTTTTCTTGTATTTGGGGTTTCCTCAGAGTTTGGTAGGAAACAAAACAACCCATCTAGTTTCTAACACCTTAAACACAAAGTCTTTTATAAGATTTTCCCCTCATTGGTCTACAGTAGGTTTTGCTTTTTTAAGTGACAAAAAAAGACAAGAGCTGATCGTCTGGGGCATCAAAATTGCATGTACATTTAATCTTTTTTCTTGGTTTTATAGGATTGAGGATCCCTTATTTGAACTCAGGATCTAAAGCATTTTGTATTCTGGAGCCCACTTCCTCTGGAGGACATGTGGACGCTGCCAGCTGAGGATCCCCAACTTAAAATCTGACAGCAGAGGTGTTCTTCAAATGTAGGTTTCTTTCAGATGGTGATTTGGGAGCGTTTCAGGTTTTGAAGTTTTGGAAGCATTCTCAGCTCTGTAGTAAAAGGCGGAGTCTTTTGCTCTCCCTGGCCTGCTACTGATCAGCTGACACGTAAGCCACATTTATCATCACACTACGCTTAACATGAACACAGAAACAAAAACCAGAAGAGACTTTCCTTCAATTTATCGTGAGGTAGTCTGTTGCTTCTAATTTTCTGAAGAATTGGTGAATAGTCACATTCACTGAAAATAAATATTATGTGCAATTTTCTACTGTGTGATCATGTCAGTACTCAAAACAGTTTTAGGTTTTAGTCCAGACCATTCTGGACTTTTTTGGGTGGAGGATGCTTAACTGGTAGGTTAAAATCTGGACCGAATAAATGAACTATGTTTGATAACACTTCATTTCCTCCAATCACTGAACACTTTCAGAAGCTTTCGCTATAGGATACAGTGATCGTGGGCACTGCCACGCTGGAGCCACACTTACAACAGAGTTGCTGAGCTTCTCCGGCAGCGGGTCTTTCACCTCAGACAGAGGGTCTTCTGGGTTCTTCTCTTCAGTTTTTGGAAAAATCTTGGATTGCATCAAAGAGCTTTATTTGAAAAAAAAAATAAGAAAAATCTTTAAGAGAAAATATATATAAAGCTTGAAAACTAGCAATTTAAATATCAAAGCTGTGGTAGAAAACCCAATAATCCAACTACATTTAATCACTAGGGAATGTAAATTCTAAAAAGTTGATTTTGGCATAAATAAGCATGCAGTGAAAATACGGTCTGTCATTAAATCTTGGGAAGAGGAACAAAAACAAAACACAAAACAAGTACGGGACCGGAGAGGTGGCTCAAGAGTTAGGAGCGCATCCTGCTCTTAGCAGATCTGATGCCTTTGGCCTCCATGGGCACACACACACGCAATTAAAAAGTAAAAATGAAATCTTAACAGCAACAACAACTACAACTACAATTTTGTACTACAACTACAAAATTACAACAACTACAACAACAAACATTCTCAGCTAACAAAATCAGCATGACTCAAAGTTACTGTATTTTTAACCCAGACAGAAAAGGCCATCACACTTGGGTGTACACTAGGAAAGGAGCTGTCGGAGCTGTGAGAAATGCCACCTTCCACAGGTGCTCCACAGTAACAGATGATTTCACTTACAAGAGTACAGATGGGTCGCTGCTTTGTCGGCTGAGATGATAGGACACTGCCACTAACAATCCGCAAAAAACAGAGAAAAGTACTGGAATGTGCTGGCCATCCCATGAATCCTGATGAAAAGAAATTCAGAGAAAAAGATGCTTGTAACCTATAACCTAACATGTGATCCTCTCACATCAATAATTTAAAGTGCAAACTGCGTTAGCTTTGTTAGCAACTGGACTTTGTTCCAAATGAATTTAGATAACTTTTTCCCCCTTTTGAGAAAGAGTCTCATGCAGTTCAGTTGGCCTCAAATGGCCTCAGGTTGCTACGTAGTTGTAATTAGCCTCTGAATTCCTAATCCCGCCTCCACCCCTCAAGTACAGCACGCCCTACAGTGCAGTCCTTATTTCTTGCACACCTGGGATTGAGGTACCACATTTCTTTTGTCTTAGAAAGCTTCAGTTCTCTCTTGTCTCTTTTGGTAATAAGGTTTTATTCAAATTAGGAATACTTTCCCATGTCCATTGCCATCACTTCTCACAGTTTAAGCAGTGTTCACTTTATGGTTCATATTGAGTTTATTTCCGTTTTTACCTTTAAATGTAAATCAACTCTCAGCTCTTCTTAAAAAAAAAACAAAACTAGAAAACAACCCATATCATGTCCACATGCTTCACAGATGTATTCCAGAAAGCACAAAACACATTTTCTTAGCTCCTTTTAGACTTGAGCCCCTATTTCTCTAACACTTATATCCTATCATTGTTTGGGGTTCTAACTCACTTTTCTCTTGCCAATCCATGGTAGTGCCCTTCTTTTATGCCTCAGTTTTGTTGGTGACTTTTATATCTACCAAGCATGAATAGAAATCTCTTTCTATACGACTACTACTGTGTGCCTCTGGAGCCTATTAATATGAAAAAAATTACATGCTTACATTTAAAAATCCCTTGTTCCTAAGTGCTATGATTTCTAACATCAGCCAGTTGTTGAAGCCAGATCCTGTTTCTAGCCCTCTTCTCTTTTTTCAGATAGTCCCCAAATACACTCATGGGATCTAGCTTCAGTGAAAGAAGCTGTGGTCTGATGACATTGCCATAACTCAAACCAACAGTGTGCTTCAGTGATGTTTCACCAGCATGTGCTTTCAACTGTAGCCAGTCCTTGGACTTGTTTTGTTTTGCTGTGCTGGGGAGCAAGAAGCAGGCCTTGGGCACACTAGGGAAACACTCTCCCACTGTGCTACACCCCAATCAAAACATGTTCTTATACGTAAATCAATCTTGATATGACAGGAAGTAGCTACATATGTTCTTAACCAGAAAGAGTTAATTGCATACTCTGTAATACCAAGCTTTACTCTCTTCCAGACGAGACCAGTTTTAATAAACTTTTCAATAGTAACTGTATATTGCTGCATGGAAAAAGATATTCCTTTAATAATGATTGATCATGAAATTGCTTTAAAATTTAAAGTAAGAGAGAACAGTACTGATCAACATCAGAAGGCAAGGGGGAATTGGTGATGAAGTGGCTCAAGCAGGACAGGATGGAATCAGCAGTCACAGACACAGTACACCATAGTCTGTTGCTTACCTTTAAAGCTCCGTAGCACAACCCATAGAGCAAGGCGACAGCCACGATGCTGCAGAGGAAACTGTACAGCGCGGCCAGCAGGCTGGTGGTAGCTAGACAGTGGAGGAAGACAATCAGGATTTTAGAAACACCTATAGAAAGACTCAAATGCACAGAAAAGCCTATCAAGTAGCACAATACTTACTCATGCGACTTCTAAAAATCCAGCCACTTCATCTTTTTCATAAGATTTGACATGACAAAGACTTCTATCTTTATTGAGATACTTTATTGAGACAAGGTCTCACTCTTAGCTTAGGCTAGCCTGCAACTTTAAGCAATCCCCCTGCCTTAGCCTTCCAAGTATTCAGATTACAGAAATCAGTTATGTCTTGCTTGCTATTTTCAATCTTTGATAATATATATTTATCTCAAAATATCAGAAAAACATTTGTACCTATAATAGGCTTCAAAATATATCTTGGTGGCTGGAGAGCTGGCGGGTTTATGAGCACGTCTTGCTCATGTAGAGTTCGGTCCCCAGCACCCACACCAGGCAGCTAAAAGCCACCAGGAACACCAGCTCCAGGGGTTCCAGCGCCTCCAGACTCCACATGCACCTGCACCACCCATAATTAAAAAGAAAAGAACTGGGGCTGAAGAGATGGCTCAGAGGTTAAGAGCACTGGCTGCTCTTCCAGAGGTCCTGAGTTCAATTCCCAGCAACCAGATGGTGGCTCACAACCATCTATAGTGAGATCTGGTGTTCTCTTCTGGCATGCAGATGTACATGCTGACAGAACATTGTATAGATAATAAATGACTAAATAAAGAAATAAATCTTTAAAAAAAAAGAAAAGGACCCTTTTTAAAAATGTATCTTACATTAATAAAATGTACCAGAAAAAAAAAAGCTTGCAAAGGCCTGAAATGGAGGCATTAATTAACCACTGAAAATATCTATGTAAACAGGACTTGCTTTATTTATAGTAGTAAGTCTGTATTCCCATTTGCTGTTTAATTCACACAAAAATGTGTAAATCTGACTATTATAAATGTCAAAAACAGGCTAAAGAGATGACTCAAAGGCTAAGAGCATTGACTGTCCTTCCAGAAGACTTGAGTTCAAATCCCAACACCCACAAGGCATTTCACAATTCTTTGTAACTCCAAGGGATCTGACACTCTCACACAGACATACATTCAAGCAAAACACCAATGCACATGAAATAAAGGTAAATAAATTTAAAAAAATTTTTAAATGTCAACAATAAGCAACTGACCTAATAGGATTACTCATAATATGAAACAAACAAAGTTAAGAGTTACCTGTTACTTAAAATATAGCTGAGAGTATTCCTTAAAGTAATTTTACATAGTGATCTAAAGGAAATCCATAGGGAATATTTATTTGTTATTAAAAACCTAACACTTTGCACACTTGTAGCTTACAATGACAAAGCCCAACAATCTGTGTCACCTACACAGAGTCCTCTGAATGTGCTTCAGTATGAAACCAACAGAGGTCCCTAAGCACTGATACTGTCATTAAGCTGAGCTGACCAAAGAAACCAGCTGTTGTAAATTACACACATCCAAACAAACAAAAACATTCTAGTATAATATACAGCAATGCAGAAAAGTTTTATTTTCTATATAATTTTAAGCCAGATCAGCTGGAGGGATGGCACAGCAAGGTTGAGGACCTGAGTTCAAATCCCCAGCACCCATGTAAAAAGCTGGGCGTGGCTGCCTGTAATTCTAGCACTATAGGGCACTGACAGACACAACCCAGGTCCTGAGAGCGCCTTGTCCAGCCAACCTGGCTCAAAGTGTGAGCTTCTGGTTCAGTGAGAGATGCTGCCTCAAGGCAGCAGGATGACAGCCAACATGGTCCTCTGGCCTCAGCATGCATTTGTGCACACAAGCGCAGGTACTCACACACTCACATGCACACACCACACTCTCCCCCCGATGCAATCAAACTCAAAAAATTGGAAATTAAGCCATGCCATCAACATTTTATCTAGGGATGATCTCAGTGCATGTATGTGGAGGGTAAATGCAGAAGTATAAAGAAAATGAACTATACATTTAAAGTTAATGGCTTTCCTTTAAACTATTTCCTCTGTTTACCACAAATTGTTAAAAATGAAGGACAGGCTTTCTCAACTACAGTAGCTGCCAACACTACTTTCAAGTTCTGCAAGTCACTATCAGATTAACCCTGGATTTTTTTAAAGATAAATATATGCATGGTAAGAAAACAGATTTTCTAAGTTATCAATTAATATATACATATCCTACTCTAAAAAAACCCAGAGATGGTTCTTAAAAGCTGATTTAGTAAAATGCTTTCGACTCCGGCTTTGGCATCCTCCTTTCAAGTACATGAACATGCCAAACGTACACCCCAGTACTGGGTCCAAATATAGTCAGACCTCAACCTGTTCAGCACAAATGGCGCTATAAACGTCTGGTGAATGCATACAGACCTCACGTAAAATCTCCACAGCACCCTCCTCTTTCTGCAGTTTTACTTCCCACGAGCTCCATTATCTGCAGTCAGCTACAGTCCGAAACATTAAAAAGACAATTCCAGAGAAAGGCCATCTCTTGGTTGAAGCATGTGCTCACGGGCTTCATGTGAATTCACGTGTGTGTGGGGTGCACCTGTGTGCACAGCATGCTCAGGTCAAAAGAGTGTTGGGGGTCATTTCTCTCTTACTGTCTCAAGGCAGGGTTTCCACACTTTCAGCGAGGCTGGCTGGACAAACTGCACAGTTGCTCCCCTTCAGTAGTTACTGCTGCTAAGTTCACTACCACAGGTGCATATAGGTTCCTATGATCTGCAGTATCTGCGGGCACAGCCACAGGGCTTGGAACACATGCCCTATTGAGAGGCGGGGGCAGGGAAAGCATGGACTAGTCTACAACTTTCTTTTTGCAAATTATTTTGTTACTTCCTATACACTAAATCTGCTATTCCTGACCTTTCTCTACAATAGAATTCACTATTTTTTTTAACTACAATTAACCGCCTTTCTGCCTTTAATTATTAAGTAATTAATAATTATTTCTTTGCTAATCCCAATTCTAAAATGAAAAGTGGAAAAGAATTTTAATGTTCAGTTTATTACTTCATGACCCATATTATAGCAACCTGTAATTTACTTACCATTTCCACCAAAGATATGGATATCCAATTGTTCACAAAGGTACATTACAAATGTGTTCACCTGAGGCAGGAGACCAATGAAAAATACTATTGGGAAACAGAGTGTAAACACTATGGAAGGAAAGAAAAGTTTATTAAGAAACACTGCATCCATTCTCTTGTTCAGTTAAAGCCCATATGCACTCAAGTCAAATTTACCACTTCCTACTGTGTAACTTTAAAAGATATGATCTAAAATTACTGTCTGACTGGATATTAAATTCTTCTAACCATAAAAAATACCTTTCTCAGTCAGGTTAAGTGGCTGAGATACAGCTCAGTGATGGAGCACTTGCCTAGTATGCATGAGGCCCTACATGCAATTTCCAGCATGGGGGAAAATAATTTCAACCATTTTTTAAAATATAAAATGAACCTAAACTGTATAATAATAATAATAATAATAATAATAATAATAATAATAATAATAATATATTAGCCCAATCCTTTTCAAGAACAGAACTGCTATACTGATTCAACATTAACCTTTTCACTCTTAGATGCTCTATAGTTGTTTCAGGCATGAAAACACTAAGTAAAATAAGCTGACTATATCAGTAAACTTCAAACAAGTAAAATTAATGTGAAGATCAGAGATATCTTCAAGACGACTCACCGATAACCAAATCCCTGGCTGACAGAAGCACCAGTGGATTGGTGAAAGTTATTCCATATAATTTGAACTTGCTTGTAGTTAGGTTTCTGCTGCCATAATCCAGGAGCCAAATGAGGCCACAGCATAAACAGAAGTAAACTGGCCTACTGTAGGCAATGATACGGTTATGACCCTGTAAACAATATTCTGCTGTCAGTTCAGTTCATGCTGAGAGCCACAGCTAACCCCTGAGTTCATTATCAGCTTGTTGTAATGGTCTCAACCATGCCATAGGAAGGCAGGTTTCTGGTGGTTGCAGAAAAATGTCAAGGACAAGTATAAAAAGGGCGAGGAATAGAATGAACCCCGTGATACTATCAGAATCAGAGCTATCAGCATGAACTCTGTATTTTTAATAGGCATACAGATACAGGACAAGTGTACATACACATTTGAACATAGACATACAAGCTATCTACCTTTACTCACTAAGCAGACCTAGGCACAAAATTCTAGTAATAAGGCTACTAGAATCCTGATCTTAGTTTACAAATACTAGTCACAAAAAAAGAGCCAGGATTTCACAGGAACGAAAAGGTAGTTGGGGCCAGGAAGACAGTATAAATTCACGCTGCTTTTTGGAAAGGAAAAGGGACATTAAGACAGTGGTTCTCAACCCATCGGTTGCAACCATTTGGGGGTTGATCGACCTATTTGCAGGGCTCACCTAAGATCAAAAAACACAGACATTTACAGTACGATTCGCTTACAATAGCAAAATTAACAGTTATGGAATAGCAACAAAAATAATCTTATGGTTGGGGGTCACTGTAACATAAGGAACTATACTAAAGGGTCACAGTATTAGGAAGGTTGAGAACTACTCCATTAAAGGATCACAGGGCTGAGCCTCGAGGACACAGAAAAATTGACGGGCTTCAAGTGGCCAAGTGAAGGTTAACTGTTTCAATATAAGGATAAAATCATTACATTCAGGAGTGAAAGCCCCACTAAGCACTATTCTTGGAGCTTATTTTTTTTTAAACAGTTTGTTTACTCATTCATTCATTCATTCATTCATTCATTTTTAAAAAACAAAACAGGATGCCACTCTTTGGCCAGACTGGCCTGGAACTTACACAGCTCTGATAGGCTGTAAACGTCCAGCAATCCTAAATCTTCAGCCTCCTAAGAATTATAGGCTTGAACCACAAAACCCAGCTTTGCTCTACTGTACAGAGAACATCCTTTGACTTTTCTATTACACAAATGTCTGGTTAGATCTAGAACCAGATCATGCTACCTTCTCAGCAGACACAGGGTCATCAGCAAGGATTTCATCTCATTCCTTAGCTTAAAAGTCTTAAATAACAGTCGAATGTAGTTTATCTTTTTATTTTTGCTCTTAAGTAATCATCAAAGAAAAGTAGCATAAGTTTTTCCTATTTCAAAATTCTATTTTTAATACTTATTTGCTATTTCCAAATGTTAGTAAATGCAAACAATCAGGCTTATATGGATCATGCCTGTTTAGCTGACACTCTCTTGAAGCAGGCTGCCAAAAACCAAATTATTATGCTCATCTCAGCCAGGCTCCAGAGTCTGGCAGTACAGTGTCACTACCTTCCGCTCATCAACTAGCTGCACAGTGTGTCAAACTCAGATGAGACAGTAAGCAGAAACGCAACTCAACCTGCTACATGCCAGGAGAAACTACAGGCTTTGGTTGGGTGTCAAGGAGCTGTAACTTACAGTCCTTTCAGGAGACTTACATGTCTGGGAGAGGAAGAATCAGGTTGAACACTCTAGAAATGAACAGAAAGATAGATTATTTTTAACTCCAGTCCCATAAACTTCACAAGCAACTTTTTTCTTAAAAAACAAAACAAAACACAAGAGTTTATTTTCATTTTTTAGTTAAGTATATAAAACACTGGGCTTCATTATAATACTTTCATTTGTATATATCAGTGTGTTTTAGTAGTATTCATCCCTTACTCTCATCATCTCCCACCTCACTTGTACCCTTCTCCCTCCATGGCACTGTCCTTTCTGCTTTCACGTCTAATAAATATACAACCCTATGTGTGTTCCTTGGCTACCTAACTATATGTGTATGTGTATCCAATTACATGTATGTATCCAACTACGTGTGTCTGTATCTATATGTGTATGTCTATCTAACTAGTGTATATATTCCGATATTAAATCTTTATTTGCATATGAGAGAAAACCTGTAATATCTGAGCTCAGTTTATTGTATTTAACATGCTGATCTCTAGTTCCATCTATTTTTTCTGGGAAAAAAAAAAAAGACATTTAATTTCTTTCTTTCTTTTTTTTTTTTTTTTTTTTTTGAGCCAGGGTCTCTATACCCCTGGCTGCCCTAGCACTTTCTACATTTATCAGCCTAGCCGCCTGGCCTCTAACTCAAAGAGATTCTCCTGCCACCACCATCAATTCATTCCTTATGGATGAGAAAAAATCCTGTGTGTGTGCACATTATGTATCTATCTCATTTTAAATATTACTTCTTTTATTTTTTGACATTATACATTTCTCCCTTCCTCCCTCCAACTCCCACCATACACCCCTCCTTGCTCTGTTTCATATTCAGGGCCTTTTAGAAATTTGCTACATGTACATACATATTTCTAAACATAACCTGCTCAGTGTGTATAACGTTACCTGTATGTACGTTTTTAGGACTGACCATTTGATTTACATAACCAAGTAGGTACTCTTCCTTGGAGAAGGCTATTTCCCCCACTCTTAGCATTCCTTAGTTGCCTAAAGTTCTTTTTGTCACAAGCAATTTTTAAAATGTTAAGTGATTTCAGTAAATGTCTTGCAACCAAAATATTGTGACCATTAATTCCAAACATGAAGCACCAGCTCCAGGAATTGGCTTGCCAGGATGGTAAACACAGTGCACACTGCCTCTCCTTCCTACTTAATTTGGCTAGTTAGTAACCTGCAAGTACCAGCCTGATGCTCAGACTGCACACTTTCAGCTGGCTCTTTACCACATGGAAGCAAGTGTGCCATATTCCACAGGCCACTCTCCCACTCAGGAGATACAAAGTAACTTGGGTTAGCATTTAAGTTCCACTTCCACTCAGATTCTGTTTACTGAACAGTGGTAACTGAGTTTATTATCTGTGTGCACCAAATAATCAAGGGCAATCCCAGTGTATCTTGTGAAAACGTGTTATTACGTAACTCTTCCTCACATCAGGATGTCCCCACATCCTAGTTCATTTCCAGTGGCACACAACACACCTTCCAGGACAGCCCATCACTGCCTGCAGTTCCACACGGTACCAAGCATGCTGTCCTGGCAGCTGGCCCTTGGCTGGATATGAGCCTGGGTAATCTTTCAGTCCTTTCAACCTCACTGCCTCCTTTTTTCTGTTTATAACACACTATTGTCTAGTCAGCTAGTTAAAAAAAAAAAAAAATCCCTGCTGCCTTGCTTAACCACACTAACCCTGAAAGCAGTGGACAAAATTAATGAAACAAGGGACAGTAGAGCCAGAGAATGAGTTTTTATGGGTTAAGCAACAAAGGGATAAAGTGGCTGAAGAAAAGGCAAGAATAAGCAGCAGCAATTTTAACATGTCCAGCACACTTAATCAAAGAGACTTGGCTACTTGCTAGTGAGGAAGGAAGAAAAAAACTTAAATGCCTCTTACTACAAAAGCAAAGAAACCTTTCACTCAGATGTGTATTCTTCAACCGCGCCTGTCAGTTAGATACATAGGACTAAAGCCTGCAAAAGACATGGCGCGTTTGCATCTACATGTGGACGTTCCTCATATATAGCACAGCGACGACTAAAGCAATGAGAGCTGCTTCACTGGCAATTATATAAATCAAGAGTAGGGCAGACAAGGCCCAAGAGAATTCTCACAAAGTCAGCAGCTGAATAGAGAAGCAATGGAAAACCAGAGTCATCTGAGGAGCTAGAGCCACCGAGGCTGCGTAAAATCACAGCACAGCGCTGAGGAGGACGCAGAGATGGAGGACGGTATGAGCAGATGTTCAATGACAGAGAATGGGCTAGCAATAAGGAAACAGCAATAACCAACATGCTTTACTTCAGATGTTAGCGATACACAGGCAGAAAAGTCAAGGCGGCTGAGAGCATCAACAGAACTGGAGCAGCAGCTCCCAGCCTGGGGAGCATTCTGCACTTCCAGCATGTGTGAGGAAAACAAGCTATGCAGAGTACAACATGCTGGTTAAAAGGAAGGAAGCATGCTACTAACAGCCCGCACTGGTTTTAGGCAGGAGGCAAAGTTTTGGTCAGACATTAGCTAACATGATGGATTCTCCCATTTTCACAAATACTTACAACTGACACCACAGGTACTTCTGAGACACTATTTACTCATAACAGAGGAACATCAATATTCTCTTTTTCATGTCCACTAAAGAATAAAAACTATCTCTAGTTTGACAAGTGTTACCACCAATGAAAAGCTTAAATAAATCTCCCCCACAGAAGAGCAGGCTCACAGGTGGGAGAAGGAAAGTGAGTGCTGGTAAAGCAAACAGAAATAAGTCTCAAGAACACAAATTCTTATTCTAACAAATCTTCTCTTTTAATAGAAAGAATTAGTTTTTGGTAAATTCAATTTAGATACAATTACATTTTAAGTTTACATCCTGCTTTGGTCCCTACATAATCCAATGTAAACCTCCATGGAAAATAAACCTAAAAGTTATGATCTTGTTGTAAGTTGGTGAGTGGCCTTTGGACAGCAGGGAAGGAGAGAGACTGGTACCTTCAGCAGTGAGTACTGGCAGCTAGCTATCACCAGGCAGAACTGGAACACCCAGATGTCTCGGAAGAAGCCTTGGATGAGAAGAATGGATCCCAAAAAAGCCACAAGAATAGCCAGGACGACAGCTAATATATTCTCCAGGATCTCACGGTTTCTGTAAGATGGACAAATTAACAAGCAGGTTATCATGAGTATGAGAAATTAATCATTGGGAAGACATCACAATAAGGCTGGAGGGCGTAAGTTTGGATGGCTGGTTTGAATAACAGGTCAGATCATACAGAATATAAAACCTACTATCTGTGGACATGAACAGCTGTTCTATTACACCATGAAACTGGAGTGTCCTTTATCAGCTGTCCTATGACACGGTCACAGTGGAGTGTCCTCTAACACACCTGTCCTATGATATCATAATAAAACTTTTTCTTATAACATTTCTGTAAAATAACTAACCAATTTGGATGGCAAATAACACCGATATAGAAAGAAGTTTAAAAAGCAAAATCTCAAAAATGTTTATAGAAAATTGAAAATATCTGTTATTTCATATGATAAAGCTTGCAACCAAATTCTGATAGCAAGTAGCTTTGTTTCCCCATCTCTCATCCTAGCTGAAATAACCCCAAAACTCACTAATTGGAACATCTTAAACATAAGTTCTTACATGTAGTAAGAATGAAGCGCAGCTAAGACCATCAATTCTGCCTCTTTAAAAGCTGCTGAGGCAATACCATACTCACAAACTGATGCTGCGAAAGAGGCAACAGGGTGCCCGAGACGCCACACAGAAACAAAGAGCATTTCTACACTGTGCCCAAAAGCTAGGAATCTATCTATCTGATTACTTTCCGGGGAGGTTTTTTCATAAGTGGTGAAGAAATACTTAATAAAATACTTAATAAATAAAAATAGTTAATAAAAGTGTGTCTACTATGTGAGACAAACATAACAAAATGTATTTAAGTCTTGTTACTAAGAACATTACACCAAATGATTATTCATAATTATTCACAGTGGCTTTGTGGGAGGATGATGGTATGAAGCTCTAGCTTCAAAACGTTCTACATTTAAATCCTCATCGGTGGGTAAAGAATTTATAACCACGAAAATTTAAAGTTCCTTTTTATTAACTCAGTACATTTATAGTCATTAGCCACTAAAACATCTCTGTAGTATTTACTACTTTCAAGATTTCAACAGTATTTTCAGATCTTAGATGGTGGATATGTGACCAGCCATGACACTCTCCCATCCCCGTGCTACTGCCCACTAACTCCTTATAACCTGAATGCATGCCTGCCTTCAGGTTTCTACAGTTGTCTATGTTGATAAATACAATTATTAGGTTTGTTTTTTTTATTGATTCTGTTTTTTTGTGCCAAAGCTAATAAGTTTTCTAAAACCTCGTGGAAAAAATCTTTTGTTTCACAAATTTTGCTGGCTTATGTTTCACATGTATGCCCATATGCTCAATTTTGATTTAGTTTTTGTGATATGGTACAAGGTGAGGATTCAAATTTTATTTTTTGCATATGGAAATCTGTTTTAGTGCCAAGTCTCTACTTTACTGAATAATATTTAAATAACACCTGGGCCTGGGGCTTCCTCTGCAGGAAAGTTCCTAATGGACTTTTATCCTAATCAGGCCATTATCCTAGTGGGCTATTTCCCATTTAGCTAGATGGACTTATGATAATTATGCCTTTCAAGGAATTTGTCCTTTTTATTTGTCTACTGTCAACAATGTCACTAAGCTGTTGATAATGCTCTCTTACTGCTCTTTAATTCCTGTGGGCTTTGCAGTGACATCACAGCTCGCAGCTACCTGGCCACCAGTGTCTCATCCTCCTCAGGCAGCCAGAAGTTCATCAGTTTCACTGCTGCTCCCAAAGATGCAAGGGTTCCCTTGATTTTTCTCTGTGTGTGTGTGTGGTTTCCTTTTTCTCTATGTTCTTCCTTGTTCTCAGTTAGGATAAGTGCTTATTTGTCTAGTTTCCTAGTGTAGAAGTCAACCACAGATTTGAGGTCTTCCTGTTTTAAGCTAGGGACTTAGCGCTATAAATTTCCCTAAGTGCTACAGGCGCCATTTTCATTTATTTTAAAATACTTCCTAGTTTTTCCCCTCAAATTCTTCTCTATCCACGGATTACTTAAGTATTACCTTCCAACTTCAAGGATTTTCCAAGGCTCAATACTTTATTCTGGAAGGCCGTGGAACCTGGAGGAGGCATGGACCTGTAGAAGGAAGTCAGGGCAAGGGTGTACTTCTGAGGGGATGCTGGAAGCCCTGCCCTTCCCTGTCTGTCTGTGCTGCCAGCAGCCATGGAGTAACAAGCAGCTTCCTCTATGAAGCTGCCACTCTGCTATTCTCCCTGTCACAGGCCCTGTAGCAAAGAATCGAGTGGCCATGGACTGAAACACTGAAAACTATGAGCCAAAACAATCCTTCCTCCTTTATAAGCAAATTCAATTATTTTGTCACAGCTACATAAAGCTAACTGATTGCAACCAGCCATTTAAAATGGGGTACAAAATCACCCAGGATTGTAGATTCCATGGCTTTTTCAAGTAGTAGGGGTTCTGGGTCTTTCTGCATGCTAAGCATGTGCTCTGTCAAGATACATCGTCAGCCCCTATGAGGTTTGAAGCTCTGTTTTAGGTACAGAAACACTTAGGACTGTTACGTTCAACAGGTTAGACTGAGCCTTTATCATTATGAAAGAGCTTCTTTATTTTTTGGTAATATCCTCTGTTCTGAAATCTGCTCTAGAGAGGCCAGGACTCTCAGCCTCTGAGCCATCTCTCCAGCCTGCTCCTTGGACTTTTAAAAGCTATGTCGGTGAGATTTAAGTAACTATGTCGACAGTTGTCTTTCCATGCTGTTAAAGATGCTCCACTGTCTTCTCACAGGTGCGGCTTTCCGGTGGATGGATGTCTTCCTCACGCTTTCTCCTACAGAATACTCCTCTGATATTTTTCTGTGGCTTTAAAGTCGTCATCACTGGACTTGAACGACTGTGCCTTGGGTGTCCCTCTCATGCTGCTTGTGCTTAGGCTGCACTGGGCTTCCCGACCTTGCACAGACGGCTTACATACAATGTGCAGTTTCCGCCACTATTTCTTCAGGGCCCATCTCTTCTTGAAGTTGTTCCACAACACACTTGTTTGGTTTGATGTTCTTGTCACTGCTTTTCCTGATGCGCTCTCACGCTCACAAACTTTTTCTTCTACAAAGTTTTAACTACCAGTAATTCCACTTCATACACTTTTTTAACTGCAACATTGTAATATTCAACTCTGAAAGTTTGATTTGGATGTATTTTTATATGTCTACCATCTCTACTTATTTTTTTAAGTACAAAGAATACAGTTGTCATTATTTTAAATCTGCACATGCTAACAGTTAACATCCCTACCAAGTTGGTCTTGATTTACTCCTTCTCCCTTGAGTTTTCTCACTTTGCATAGCTGGTCACCTCTGAGTGGATGCCAGACGTCAGCCATTACTTGCTGGGTGGTATGTATTTCTGGGGTTCTAAAAATCTTGAACCTGTCATGCTACTTCAATCTCTTTGGATCTCAGTAGTGTAAGGAGGCTAATGCTGCCACACTTTTAAAGGAAGCGCTTCCTAAACAGACAGCTGCCCAGACACATGAGCTAAGCATGGTCTACATGCACTAGGAAGCCCGCTACACATCTCCGCAGTTCTTTCAGAAGTTTCCTTCTATGGTATTTTGTACTATGGACTCAGGACCCTCATATCTCTTTATCCTGAGCTGTGTACTGAATTCTATGTTCCCCTCCCCATGTCACCAAACTAGGAATGTGTACACACAGAGTTGCAGTGATTTAGGGTGCGTACCATCAACTCCTCAAGCTGACTGTCTTCTACTGACTTATCTCCAAGGTTTTGTCTGTCTCTGTTTCTGAGGGAAGGTAAATCCAGTACTGTTCCTACTTGTTGACTGGAAACAGCTACCGGTCACCAAGTCTGTAATAAGCGAGTATGTCTACTACTAAGACACTAATAATAACAGACAGGGTAGCAGGTTTCCTCTTCCAACACTTATGTTTGGGATCATATTACCTTAACCCTAAGATCATAAAATACTCCATATGCTCTTCTAACAATCAACTGCATGAGCCAGGCATGGTGGTATATGCCTATAATCCCAGCACTCAGGAGGCAGGGGCAGGCAGATCTCTGTGAGTTTAAGGCCAGCCCGGTCTACAAAACAAGTCCAGGACAGCCAAAGCTATACAGAGGAATCCTATCTTGAAAAAACAAAACAAAAACAAACCAACAAACAAATAAAAACAAACAAAAAGGATTAACTGCATGACTCACATTCTCACATTAATAATAAAAATATATCCTATGGAAAAAAGCTTTCTATGGTCTTACGAGAGTTACCGTTTAAAAGCTCTGTTACTTTAAGTTTGAGCTCAAGAGGATGAAAATAGAAAGCATTTTACAACATGTTATTTAGGTGAAGACATCAATGGTAATCAGGAAAACTTTAGCTTAGAAATAGTATCTTCACATCTCTAATACCATGCTCTGGTCTTACCTATCAAACAGCGCCAAAAGAGTGAGTCTGTCAAAGTTAATGCCAATCCAGAGCTGGGGGAGGATCCAAAAGCGGTAGTAGTGTTTCACCTTCTGGGCAGCTTCTTCTGTGGGGCCGTAAGTGGCTGCCAAGTCAGGGCTTAGATCAATGTCCTGCTGCTCCAACAGATCTGTGTCAATGGTCAACAGTCTATTCAACCGAATCTGTGGGAGAGAAAGCTAGAAACATGCCGACACTGAAAGGGTTAAATACTCTTGATCAAATCAGGACTCATCAAATCAGTTTCTCATCTTGTCAATTACTTAAGCCTCTAATTCTCTATTCTAGTTCACTCCTTGTGAAAACTCCATGTTACCTAGAATCTACAGAAGGTGGTAACAGGGAGTAAATTAAAACAAAACAAATTTGATCAACAGACCTTTAGGAAGGGTGTTTAAAAGATGTTGATACAGCTGGTGAGGCCACCAAATGTCCTTGCTGTGGGTTGCTGGGGGCCTCCCTCTTCCATGTCACATCTAAGCCTTTTCTCACTAAGGTATGAACTGTACTGCAGCGGCAAAATCTGAGCCCATTAGCTGTCACTTCCTCCCCTGTCATCACTGGTCTTGCTCTTTTAAGCCTCCTTTGTATTAGCAGCCTCCTCACCTGAAGCTATGGAGCAAAGGACTAACTTTATTTCTCAACTTTAATTCTTCCATTTACCAGTTCTATAGTTGCCTTTCCTCTGAAACATCTAATGTTACTGGCACAGAAATGGACAGCACTTTGCTGTCTCAATGTTCCTTTGCCATTGAGAGTGGAAAACAATGGTATGATCATCGAGAGATCCTGCTTCTAGCAGGCAAAGTCTTTATTATTCAAACACACATGGAACAGCCAAGAGGGAAAAAAATGCTGCTTTTATATCTTTAAATAATGACTGATACTTCACCAAACATTTCTTATCTTATGCCGTAGGGTTTCTCAATTCTGGCACTATAGAAATTTTTGGTAAGATCGTATTTGTGCTGAGCACTTCAGAATGTCTCTCAGAACCCCTGGTCCCTGTCTACTGTTTACAGTGGCATTCCTCCCACTGTGTCAAGTCACACGTTCCCAGGCACAGCTAAACACCCACTGGCTGGAAAGCACTGCTGTCTACCTTTTCACATCCCATCTTCAAAGCCTGCCCACCTCACCCTCAAGGAGCCACTGGACAAAATGCCTCAAAATAAAATCTACCCATGGCACCAGCAAGGATTTCATCCAATTTTACATTTTCTAACTTGACTCATATATGTATCTTGCTAGCAAAAGCAGGGTTTCAAAATCCCCATTCTGTCTTATACATTTTCATGTAATAATGTCACCCGGCTTTCCCCCAACACATAGGCAGTGAGTGAGTTAAGAGTCAATAGATAGTTACAAAACAACACCAAATCATATTCTTCAAAGTGATGGCTCTGCAGGTCAGCACTTGCTGACAAACCTGAAGTCCCAAGATTGATCATTGGTAAGTTGTGCTCTGACCCCCACATGTACACATGTCCTTGTACACACACAAATCCCCACACAAATAAATAAACAAATGTAAAAACACAACGGGCAAAAAAAAAAAAGTGGTACAAGCAGATCGTACAGTGGAAAGTGGGCCTTTCCAGACCTGCACAATACAAGCCAGTGCCACTTCTGACTCCACACAGAGGGTTAGCTAACGTCTGTAGAGTGTAAGAGCCATGGTGACAAAACAAAGGGGATTTTGTCATAGTTGCCAACAAAAGTAACATTTTGTGATTTCATTAATTTGAGTGGTTTTTATGGCTAGCTATATAAATATACTTTTCAGATTGGGTCTAAAAATGCATCACATTATAAGAAGTTAAAAAGCTTACCATGTCATGTGGATAAAACCGAACTGAGGTAGAACTTGATACATGAGAGTCCGTGTCACTAAAATAAAGTGAGAAAGACTTTAGGGAGTAAAAAGATTGTTAAACAGTGTATAAAAAAAACCAAAAACCTCATTTAACAATTAGGCAACATTTATATTATCTTCACTCTTCGATGTAAAGTGCAACTTCATTTTCCTAAGTTGTAACCTAGAATATTATGTTCGCACCAAAGTTCAGATTGCCTCTCCAGCTGAGTGAAATCTTCAAACCTTAGTTTCCTCATCAGTAACATAAAATAACAGTGCCTCTACTTCTTACACAATGGCCATTTGGTTCTTATTTTAGGATTTCCATTTTCCAGATGGCCATTGTGAAGAAAGTGAATTAATTAAGTAGTCTTTGATTTCAAAGAAACAATGGGAATTGAATTAGCAAGGTTAATTTTTTAGGAAAAAAAATCAAATCAATATACTCTATACTATAAAAGATTATATGATGTAAATATCTAATTGATTTGCTTTCTCCTAACATTTTTATTACCTTCTTTCTAAAAGAAAATTTAATGGAAGAAAACTAACTTTGGAGTGTAAACTTCACTGTAGCTATTTTTCTGATAAGCTTTTTATAGCACACAATATGGAGAGGACACTGGACATCTAGCTACATCTGGAACTGGGCAAACTCTATCCCATAAGGTTTAATGAAAAGCTTTACTTCATTTTTTTAAATACAGAGTAAATTATGTTTTAAAAATAGTGCTTTTTAGCCGGACTTGGTGGAGCACCCCTTTAATCCCAGCACTCAAGGAGACAGTGGCTGGTGGATCTCTGTGAGTTTGAGGCTAGCCTGATCTAGAAAGCGAACCCAGGACAGTAAAGATTGTCTTGAAAAACAACACAACAACAACAACAAAAGGTGTTTTTCCCCCCACAACAAATTAATTTCCATTAATTCTATGGACACAAATGTATTATGGTAAGTATTAAACTTGATATAAACATTTCCAAAATAATTGTATCTTACATGGCAGCTTGCAGTTAATAACAATTCACTGCACATCTGAAAATGAGAGTTGATTTAAGTGTTCTTTCAACCAGACAACCTGTATGAACAGAGTAGGTGTAGCTGTTCTGTAACGTATACATCTTCCAAAACATCAGCAGTGTATTACAGTGTTTTTGTCCATTAGGGAAAATGTTTTAAAACAAGCGTCTGCACCTGCAGCTGAACCTTTAAACATGAAAGCCACACACTCTGACGTCTCCACACCTACCAGATATTGGACGCTCTTCTTGCTGCTGGCTCGAAATTCACAAGTGACATGTCACAGCCACCCGTCTCATAGAGCGTAGATGAGAACTTACCTAGCAAATGAGCAAGTTTTGAAGAGTCATTAGGATAGCCAGTCTTCCTTTGTGATACACTAAATTTACTAACTTTTTACATTACAAAAATCCTACAACCCATCTCCAAACCACAATCTCTGTGCAGTTCAGAACAATGTGGGGCAAATGGCAGCACATGTGATCAGTATTAACAGGAAGAGGCTTGAGTCGGATCTTTTTCCTCTTAACTAAGACAATCATGTGGATGAGTAATTTAATGTTCCGAAGCCACCTGGCATGGGCGGGCCTATGCAAAGCTGCTTCAAGTTTAAGACAGTTCAAACTTCATGACAATAAAATGGTTATTTTTATTCTGTTCAGAAAAAATAAAAAGTTAAAAATGACTCAAAGGAATTTAAATAATGTTGGTGGTAATTAAATTACTTAATGAACATCACTACTTATACAGTGTTTCCACAAGAGTTGTGTAAAGATTTAGGAATGACAACTGTTATGACCAAATAGCTCTAGGAAATCTAAAGGGATTAAAAAAAAATTAAACTGACTAAAAATCTTAGGACTAAAACCTAGCTCTTGGGAGCTGCACACAATCCCATTCCCCCTTTCCAGCAAGAACCTGCTGGGACAACAACAGCGATGGCACTGTCTAAAACAGTCTGCCTCTCCATCTTTGAACAGAACAAGAAAATAATTACACAAAAGCCCAGCTGCTTCAAAACAAACTCCACTGGATAAAATCGTTTCTAATAACAGGATTTCAAAAGTCAGACAGGGCTTGAAGTGCCTTCTTGAAGATCTATGGAGCGTAACTCTGATGGGGAGGGCTCGTAAATAAATCCATGCAAGTCTTCACGAAGCCAACCACACTGGGTAGGTAACTAGGCAACTACATGGTCTTGTCCAGGTTTTGAGACTGTATGAGGGTTTGATCTAGAAGCTGGAATTACTGAGATTCTATACTCTCATACCTAGGGCTGGCCTTGAACTCCCTGTCTAGTCAAGGATAACCTGGAATTTCTGACTTTCTCTATGTTAGAGTGCTAGGATTACAGACATCTGCCTCTATATCCAGTTCATGCAGTGCCGGCATCCAAGCCGACTTTGTATACACTAGACAAATACTAGACTCTGCTATATCCTTGTCCTAAATATGAGCAATCTTTAAACAATTTTTAATTAAATTTGTTCTTCTGTACTTTCATTTACACATATAATTATTATACAGTAAGTTCTGATTACTGTCACCCAATATCAAGCCTCTTAAAGGGAAAATTTTAAATAAATGCCATGGTAAAAGGTCAGATTTTCTATGTCCAAAATGAAAACAGTGTATCGCAAGAACTTTTAAGGTAAAAACAAAACAAACAAACAAACAAACAAAAAAAAAACCAAAAAAACATGTCCTAATATATTCATATTATAACTAAGGACTTAGAGACCAAAAAAGTCACCACTTCATTTTTAACAGGGCTCCATCCCAAATATAGCACTTTAGTAAATAAGACTGCTTGATTACATTCTATTGGTCACTAGATGAAATATGTAATTTACTTTACCACTGTATTGTCTGTCAGAATAATATACTAAGATAAGTCAGAAAAATAATTCTATAAAATGCTCATTTCAGCAGAGACAGAGAGGGAAATAACACCTCAAATGCACAAGGGGAAATACGGTGACAATGACAAGTTCCAATATTTTAACTATTTGAGCAAGCATAAAAGAAGAGAAATACTCATTCCATGTCGTATAATTTTAGTTTCACAGGATGGACTATGATATGTATGGATTGCCCAAGACTGCTTTCTCTCCCACTTCAATCAGTCCCAAATAAACAAAACAAAACACAAAATACATTGGTGGCCAAAAATGAAATGATAAGGCTGTCAATCTGCTTGTTTCTTAGAAGTTACTGGAAATTCCCTGAATTCCCTGACTGGGCCGCAGAAGCTGCTACTGAGGAAGAGTCGATGAACACCATGCCTGGTGTTTAGCAAGAAAGGCTGCATACACGGGCTGTCACAAGCTACAACTCGTGCGCGTTTCAGAAGTAAGTTAATTCCGTATTCAACAACTCAAATTACTGCAGCACTTTCTCAATATTTCAGCTTGACATAGAACTTCAGTGATGTGCTCTGTTCTTTATATACTGGAAATTGCATTTCTATACGATTAATCACTGAAAATATTATCTTTGTAACATTCAAATGCAATAGTGAAGAACATGAAGTCATTTTGTCCATTATCCTTTATGTACAGATATTTAATTTTAAACATAGAAATTATTTCATCTTAAATATAAACATGAATGTAAAAAAACTTTTCTAGAAGAAAAAAACTGGAAAAATTCAGTATTTTGCTAGTTAAATGTATAACTTTGAATGTCTCTATATAAAGCAATGGTTTAAAAAGTAATAGAATTTATTTAGGAATATTAATAAACACCTATTAAAATTAAAAGGAAAGTTAAAGTTAATAGAAAAGTGGCAAAAGTCATGAATCTAAGAGGAGGGGAAATACATGGGAGGCGTTGAAGGGAGGAAATGGAAAGAAAATGATATAACTGAATTTTAAATATTAAAGTACCAAAATGTAGACATTTAAACAGAAACAAAACATGGACATAAGACCACCAAACAGGCATGGCTCCAATAGGACTGCCTCTTCTGAACAAGCTGGGACTCGCCTGCCTCCGCTGTAGACTGCTTAGGACCATGTTCGGGCTTTTAGAGTAACATGAGGTGCATCACAGCACACCCCAGGAGCCACTCTTCACGGCGCCTTCCAGCTTAACTGCACAGCCACGGCCGCACGCCTTTCTCTGTGCACGGAGCAACTGACAGCACACTGCGAGTGCTACACCTTATTCTCAAGAGAAACACACTTGGGGAAATGTACTAAAATATGTAGCTTAAGGATTCAGTGAAAAGTCTAGTAATACTTCAATGCACTAATCTGATAATCTAGCAAAGGATAATCTACCCCCCCCCAATTGAAACAAAACTACACACTAGTAACAATTAAAATATTCAAATTCAAACTTTAAACTCCATGTTCCTATGACTCTATTTAATATACAGCATTTAAAAACCCTTAAATTGCACATTCCTTCTTAAGGATGGATACAAACCAGAAAGAAAGCAAAATGTTCATGCAACATGCCCTCTGCATTTGAACTGTGACTATAAATAAATCAGGAATCTGCTGCCAGTTCATAATTAACCATGTCTAAAAGGGTCAGACATGCATTAAGAAAAGAAGCAAATCAATTTATGACCAAATAACCAATATAGCTGGAATTTCTGATTTGTAAAAAATCATCCATAGGGCAATCTCTAAGAACAAAAAAAAAAAAAAAAAAAGTTAAGGCACCTGGCATTTTTCACTGATGAATATTTAATAATGAATGCCACTGCCAACGAAAACTCAATTTGTTAATCATGATCTTCTCTGAGTATGCAAGTTGTACAGCAACCTTAGGGCACAGTGTGAACCACAAAAAACGAAGACTTATTGTCTAAGGACTGAAGCCAGAAATGGCAGAGCACACATTCTAAACATCATTGGCATGACACTTCCAGACACGGGGGAGTAAGGGACCCTCCAACTTACTGCATTTGTAGAACACGACCAGAACATGGTGTAAAACACACTGAGAATTTTAAGCCCAATCTCTCACCTTCAAAACTCCTAGGACATCCTTGCTGCTTGATTTACACATCTGCATTTTCTGGGAGGAGGAGGCTACTAGGGCAGACCGTTCTCTAACCCTCCAGGGACCAGCAACAAAAGAGCTATTTTACTTTCCTGGATCCTTCTTTGACTTCTAAGCCTACTCTTCCTTCTGGGTCCTCTAAATCTGAACCTGACATGGTGCCTTATTGAAGCCTTCTGCTTATGATGCATTACTCTCAGAGCAGAAAAGGTAAAGTAGTGAACTACATGGAACTAAATGGTTTTAGAAGGCTTTTCAGGGACCACATTCGCTCAAATGGTAAGTATTGACGCTGGCTTCTGGTTTGATAACTATCATGTTCCATCGCTGCATGACTGTATTATACTTTTTAAGAGAGAGGGCTTTATGATCAGTTCTGCCTTCTTGGATGGTACCTCCGTATTACCATGAGCCTACTTTAAGTTTCCAAGGTAACCTGAGTTTTCATCTAGACAGAAATGACTCACTGTACTTCTGCTAACAGCTAATGGCCTTGTTTCTCCCCATACCAGGGGCCAGCAAACTTTCTCTGTAAGGAACCAGATAATAAACATCTCAGGCTTTGTGATCCTGATACCTTATTGTCAGAACACAGTCCAAGAATGAACTTGTGCAAGGGGAACTCTGAGAGCTTGTGAGCAAACTTCAAGAAAACAAGACAAGAGTCTTGTGATTACAGTCTTCAAAAACATGGAGTGTGCTCTTGTGCCCCTTCCAGATGTAGCAGTAGGAGTGAGTTTACTGTAGATAATTCATTACAAATGGCTATTGTTATTTGTTTATATGCCTCCATGGAAAAACACGATTCTGCCACATGTGCGGCAGGCCTGCCACGTGAGGCTGGCCCTTGTGTATGGACACTTTACTCACGTGACTCCTCTTAACCCTCAGAGTATAAACTGTCTGATGCTCTGAATAAAGTTGGCTATTGCATGAGACTTTAGTCTGCCTCGTTTTTTAGGCTCCAGGTCACAATGCCAACTAGAGCAGTAAACGCTCTGTGATGTAACATTCAGGTCTGTCATTGTCGCATAAAGTCACCACAAAACAGACATTTTTTTCTCCCTTCTTTGTTTACAAAACCAAGTGAGAAGCTGGACTAAGCTCACAGGCTAAAGTCTGCTAACCTGTCTTCTACCTAGACCCAGAGTCTTGGACTTCTAAACCTCTTTAATTCTTTAAAAAAAAAAAAAAGATTTAATTTCAGTTATTATGTATATATGCATGCGTGTTGAGTGTAGGCTTGAGCACTTGAGTGAAGTGTCTGTGGAGATCAGAAGAGGAAGTCAGATCCCCTGGAACT